TGAGGCTGCTGTAGCGTCAAAGAGCGCAAAGCCGCATCCGGCGAAAGCGTCGCGTCCCGAGGCCCTAGGCGGCTCGTTGGACGTGACGCTAATCAGCGACGTACGGGAGCGTGATCGGGATATTTCCGATGATGAGTTTTCCCCTACGAACGTGTGCATGTTTCCGGAATCATGGGAGGGCGTAATGCCGACCTCCGTGATTGACAAGGCCGGAGGCTTTGAGCAGTTTAGAAATGAGCTCATGAGGATCCAGAGAGTCCTGGATTCTCCGGCGCTGGTCGACCTTGGTAAGGTCGATCTGGACGCTCTGGGCGAGCCGCCCAAGGAGTACGTCTCGGATGAAGATCACGAGAGTCATGTAGATGATGATGGGATGGGCCCATATGTGGACAAATTCTCATCAATGGGCGACCGCGACCTAGTGCCCTCAAAGCAGGAGCCGCCTTACTATGAGGCAAAGGCGTGGCGTACCACTGAAGAAGAAATTGAAAGGATGAAGAACCTTTTTCCACACTTTCGTGCCGAAAATTATCGGCTTATGTCTGCGAGTACTGGTCCCATAGGTACCAAGTCGCACGTACAGGGCGTCCTCCCTACAGGTGCGTCGTTGGAAGAGGCACTGATGGCAAAGCCCGGTGTGTGCCCGATTTCGAGCACCTACAACCTCACATACGAGGGTGAGGAGGTTGTGATTGATGCACAGAGTGGGATAGCAGGCAGAATCGCCTGTCCTGCCGGTAATGACATATTCCATTTTTTCCCCGAGATTAGGGATGTGTCGGCGTTTATTGGACGAAGCTCCAGGGAATCGCAAATGCTGCTAGAAGTTTTGTCGGGCAACACTGACCCAACGCGGTTAAATGTGAAGCCCGGTGAGCAGCCCCCCTTCTTGTTTGGGACGGTTCCAGACATTCTGGGAGGTTGGATGTCAATGACACTGATCTCAACGCTACTTGAGGCCCTATACGGGATCCACAAGTGCACGAGTGTCGAGGTAGCGACCTGGGCGGGTGCTCTCGCAAAGGAGAACCCATCGTACCCTCCAGTCGAGCTCCTAATACGGAAGGTCTGGAGGACAGATGGCACGTCTGAGCGCCCGAATGAGGTGCTCTTTGCGCGGTCCACCCTAATCGGGAGGGACGTGCCGTTCAAAGTTTTCAAGCGTTGGGCACTGCGTGACCGAACGCCAATGGGGCCTTTGCTCAGGCCGATGGTAGCAGCGGAAGTCCCTTATACGGGATACGTGCTGCTGACGATGGCCGAGTATCGGTCCGCCCTCAAAACGAGGTGCATCCGGAGGCCAGGCAAATTCGCCATCACGGTTTTTCCCATGCGACCTGAGCAGGTCTGCCGGGGGGAGATCATGATTGGGATGGAGGGCGCAAAGGTGCCTCTCCTCAAGTTGCCCAGCCCCAATAATGAGGGCGAATTTTATGTTGACGATCGCGTCAAATACATGGACAAGCGCCATGTCGTTGTGGCCATTGACCTAAAGTGGATGGCCATCGAGGAAACCGCCGGCATCTATAAAACCCGACGCGGTTTGATTGCCGTGCGGGAAGAGATACATGCACCCTTCTGGCGCGCATGCTATCTGCACCAGGAAGGGGATGTAATATACATCCGTCCCTGGGCGGTTCGTGAGTTGAATGTTCAGGGACCGCCGAGAGGGGTGTCATTTTCATGGGACAATGCTCCCATGCATGACTACTGGTGCCCTCGGTGCGCGCATTTGAACATGTATGGCACCATTCTATGCAATGGTTGCCATCTGCCGATTTTCTATCGTGAATGGGTGCCAGGCACCGTCCGTTCTCTGGTTAAGAATGGGCAGCCAATCTGGCTAGAGAGACTCAAAGCAGTCCGTGCCAGTAGCTGGTACGAAGGGGAGACCGACGCGTGGGCTCCTCTCATGGCATCGGTAAACCCGATCCGCGAGGTGGTCAGCTGTATGATCACCGGTTTGCGCTGTGCGCCGCATCTTGTGCACGTTCCCAACGCGGACATTGTGCAAGTTGCGTTTCAGGAGGTTGCAAAGGTCACCTCAAAGGACACTCACGCTTGTGTGCGGGCGAGTGATGAGGCTCTCGAGCGGTGGGTAGCGAAACAGCTGCTCATCGAGGAGAGCAACACTGGCGTCTCGATTCCCGACAATATGTCTGTTTGGCATATTTGATCGAGCACCCGCAACAGGCGGCGCAATGGGGTCGTCATATGACGAGAAAGGGCAGTCTAAATTCAGCATTTGCCCTTTACCTCTCCGTGCATATCTTTGATGCCTACCGCATCGGGATTGAGGACGGGTATTTGGTTCCGCTGTATGGCCTAGGCGCCTCACGCGCGGACATCATAATGTCATTGGTACAGGCTGAGCGACGCCTCACGGACTTCAATACTGAAGATCCGAGTTTCGATGCTTCCACTGTTCTTGATTGGAGTATCGACTCTTTGCGGGCCGGTGGTGGATCCATCACGGCCCCAATTGAGTATGCTGAGGCATACATTTATGTCGAAGACAACAAGGTTGACATGGTCCCCGCTTCGCGGCGCGACGGCCAATGCGCCATTGTTTTTGCTGACCCGCCGGTTGGGAAGCACCACAGGCGGGCAGCCACTCCTAGGGGAGACCAACGGTCTGCTACCCCGCGACCTGAATCCAGGTCAAAGGGTGATCAGCAAAAGGGCAAAGCCCCTGCGCAATCATGGCCCAAGGGCGGAGGTCACAAGGGTGACCAGTTCCCAGGAAAGGGTCACAAAGGTGATCAGTACAAAGGCAAGGGTGGCCAATACGGCTACCAACAAGGGCAGTTCGGTCGTGGCGGATCCGCCAGATCGAGAACTCCCACTGGCGGGTCTCAGCCTGATGCTCGCGGGTCGGGATACAAGGGTGCTCAGGCAGCTCCTTACCCTTTCCCGAGTCCGATGTACCCCGCTTTCCCAATGGGAGGGTACATGCAACAGCCAATGGCTGGCATGATGCCGCAAATGTGGCCTGGCGCAATGCCGCAGGGTTGGCAGCCGCACATGCAGGGTGATCCCCGCGAGTTCGAGAATCCGAACTCGCCGCATACCCCTACCTGGGGTGCGGATGATGAGTTGGCCGAGACCGTGCCTCCTCCTCCTGGGGACTGGAACGTCAACAAGGGGAGGGGACGGCACGGCGGCGGACGACATCGGTGATACCTGATGTTCGTCTGCTTCCTTTGCGTGGCGGCGCCAACGCGCGCATGCCTTCGTTCCGGAATTCACATAATGGACTATGCTCCTTGTAGTATTTCTGTGTTTGGGCTATTCGCCATTTCGGAATTCAACTGCATGCGCAGCTGTGCGCTATTCGCGCAGGCAGCGATTACCTGTCAGGTGTATGTCGCCGCAGCAAGGAAGTCATCCTCGGCGGCGTCTATGGCCGCTGGTGATCTGCTTTCTCCAGCACCGCTGCTGCTGCTGGTGATGGAGCTCATCAAGGTGCTGTGGTGAGGATCACGGATGCGCTGCACCGCTGCCGGTGAGGTCCTATTCGGACCTGAACCGCTGATTGCAGCTGGTGGTGTTCCTACCGAAGGTCTTTGCGTGATCGCGCGCCTAGACGGTGCTAATTTAAAGACCGTGGTCTTGTGGTCGAAGCACCACGTTTCAACCAGTGGGCCAATGCGCCTAAATCATGAATTCAGGAAATAAATCCACTCGAACCTTACGGTTCGATGTGGTTGCATTGCAAATGTATTTTTATTTCATGCCTGCCATCCTGGAGTTGAATCTTTGTTTCTGTTTCTTTTTGCTTTCTCTTGTTTGATTTGGCTACCGGCGCGAATCCGCCCCATACCCGTAATTCGGGGTGGTGGCGGGATCCGGGCACCAATGAGTGCTCGGGTATGGGGCCGCGAACCCTGGTAGCCTAATCGGCTCTGTTTTCTTTTTATTTGCTTTTCAACTTCAACATGGCCAATGCGCCCTTCCAAATTCACTCCTTCTCTTTGTACAGGCGAGGGGGGTGTTTTTGGGGGCATGTACTTTTATCATAGCATGTTTCATGCCGAAGCCCAACGCGGCTTTTGGCTCAAGCTTTTGCATTCGGCGAACATAGCCTGCTGTCTCGTCGGGGAAAAGTCCGCGGCGCCCTACACGCCGGCCGCACGACGTTGCGGCCGTCGTTGCTGGGGCGGTGGTTTTCGCCCCGGAGGTGGGTCGGGCTGTTGTTTGGAGTGCGCTGCTATTGCTCGCTTTGCTCGCTTGGTGCTGCTTGCTGCTGGTTTGCTTGCTTGCCCTGCGCTTTGCTGCGCTGCTGCTTGGTTTCTTCTTGTTACAACCGAGGCACCCCTTTTGGTTCGTGTTAGTGCCGGCCGGGGGCAACTGCTTTGCCCTTGGGACCGGGGGGATAAGGTGGTCTCTTCTTGTTGGTGGGTTAGGGCCTGTTTTATCCATCCCGAAACTCTGTTTCAAACCCTTTCGCAAAAGGGAAACCAAAAGGAAACCGCCCCATGACAAGCCATGTAATTATTTTGTGCTTTCGCATGTTTGCATCATGTTGCAGATTTAGATCATATCTACAAGTCCTGTTGGCGGGTAAAGAGAGAGAGAGAGAGAGAGAGAGATTCCTTTCCTCACACCCATCCAGTCTTCATTCACATCCTAAAGTCATTCATGGTTACATTCCGATGTTGGGTGTGAATGAAGGGAAGGGATGAGGAAGGAAGTGGGACCACCCAACGGCCGTGGTCATCCCTTCCTCCCTCCGTTCGTTTCCCTCGCCTTCGAGTGCGGTTTCCACTCTGCGCTGGAAGCACTTAAGTGTAAGGATAGCGCGCAAGTGCAAGCAAGGCCTATGGCTGTGGGTCAAAACCAATGGTACCCATTTTAGTCTATTTTAGTGGGGATTGGGATGTTCACTGCGGGTACGGGCTTTTGACCCATGGCCATATTACGGCATAGCATGGTCGCCCTCCGCAGCCGCTCCAAGCAATCAAACGCAGCCTCTTGGACAACCCTTCCGGACCTGCGTGATGCTTGGCAACCGTATCAGGCCGGCTGCATGATGTCAATCAGACCAACCATGGGTGCCGCAGGCTAGTGGCGATGGCCCTGCTGGGCTTCGGTCTTCAATCTGTGCGCTCCGATCCTTGGCAGCCTGTGACAGGATTGGGTGATGGGAACCTGGATTGATGAATGTACACTGGTAAGTTGACAGGGGGCATGTTCCAACCTAGAGGGCTAGAGCGGATGCTTGATCTTGTTGGAACCTGCCACAAACAATTCATTGGTTGATCAATCCGTGGTTCAGCAAATGGCTGGCTTTGGATTCTGACGCAAGCAAGACCAGGCACTCGACGTTCTAAGGAGATTGCCATGTTCCAGCACCCCATGGAGGAGGCGCCTAGACCGCAGACTTACATCCGAATCCACTATGTCTTGCGGTCAAAGCATTTGGTCGCAGCTGAAAGCTATGGTTCCGAAAGGGTTCAGGGAGGTCTGGACGCCCAACTGCAGGGTTTCGAAAGGCACGGGGGTTTCGTGGAGCAGTGGCTGGATAGGATTCCGGAGGGTTCCGGAGCGTTGCGAAAGGTCAGCCCTCCGCGACTTAGGGGCATCGTCGTCAGTGATGCAGACTTGACACGATGGGGGCTTGCAGTCTGCTCCTGGTGCTGACGCTTGCGTTGCCTTTCGCGCGGCTCTTCAAATCGCCTCCCGCTCCGAACGCGCGTCGGGCGACGCGGATGGTGTTCCACGGCCCCAGACCAGCCACGCAGTCTGGGAATCTTTGCGCCCAGATGAGCCGCTGCTTTCCTTTCGCTGGGCGTCACGCCCTGCGGTTGAACCAAGGCACACCCAGCTTCTGGGTTTTGCATTGCCCAGTTCCGCACGCAAAACTTGCTGTGGCTAGAGGGTTCTATGGAGCGGCTGGTGGATTGGGTCCTGGGGTCCCGCAGTGGCCTTGTTTACAGTTTTTGTTGGGCCATTCAATGTGGGGAGAACCTGGGTTGACCTGAAAGAATACGATAGTCATCAACCATTCCAACTGACCTGCAGACGAGGATGGAAAGGGTTCCCATCAGATCCCATCAGGTAAAAACGGCCATCGCGCGTGAGCTGGTTCAGTATCTGGAGATGCGGACGAACGAGACCCAGGCGGGCAAGACCCACCCTGTGAGGCATGGCTACTTGGTGATGTTTTCGTTATTGAGAGATTGAGATGTCTGGGTGGTCAGGCCTTGAAACTTGCAGCTTTCAGGGGATGGTCATGTCTTGAATTCTCTTGCCCTTGGCGCATCTCTTGTTTTGCAATGTGCATTGCAAGTGGAGCCATGCGCTCTATTGCTCGAGCCTTCGCAGATTGACTTGCGCGAGCTTGATGCTGCTTGGCAAAGACCAGCTGCGCTTCGAGTGGAAGCTGCCAGTTCCTTGCAACGAGGACTGCTTTCGTGAGATTTGGGTGTGGGTCAAAATGAAACAAACCACCAGGGGACCGCAAATTTTGGTCCATGTTTCCACCTACCAGTGCAACCCATTCTGGGTACCTATTTTGACCCACAGCCAGTTGCTGTCAGCCCTTTTTTGAAGAGGTTGATTCGTAGGCCATGCGCCATGAAAGGTGTCAGCTTGCCAAAATGCATCTCGGCTCGCCGAGGGCTCGGGAGACGCTTGCTGGATCTCCCGTCACTCGCTGCACCTCGGCTGCACCTGGATAGAGCTCGCTAGCCTGAGGGGGGGACTCAACCGAGATGTTGGGTTCTATGCCACTAGTCACTAGCCTTCATACACTTTGTGCCGGTTTGAGCCCTTTGAATTTCGGGCCATCAGAGGGTGCTCATGGGTCCCGTTTTTCTTTTTGCGCATGGAGCACGGAACCCTGGTCCATGCGTCAGCCCGGAGCCGGGCAAGGTGGGACTGTGGCCTGAAGTGCTACATGAAGAGCACCTACAACTGGAAGCCCTGCGCTTCCGGGCGCCGGGCCCAGCTTAGTGCGAAAATCCTCAGGAACGCCACCCCGCCCGCCCGGCAGGTGCGTTGCCATCCAGGGCTTGAGCGGCAACTGCAACGCCTGCCTCTCCAACTTGGTGAGCTGCGCGGCCCGGCTACACGGCCGCTGTTCGAATGAGCTCGGGCGGGCCGACTGAAAAACCCTTCCGGGTCATTGGGAAGGTGTGTGCATGGCATCACCAGCTTTCACATGGGAACAGGTGATTTTGTGATACGCTTCGGGTAAAGCACCCTTTCCTATGACGGAGGTTTATGTTTGTTGTTCTCTTTGCCCCTCTCTCTCTCTCTCACGCTTTCTGTGATTATTTCGTTTGTTCTTTCTTTCTGGTTGAGTGGCCTATCACTGTGATTCACCCAGAAGGTAGTTGCAACGTGCAAATACCTCCGATGTTGAGCCGGATCACGCTTGCCGTTAGAACGGAGAGGTGCCCTGCATTCGAGGTGCTCCTGGAGTGCGTTTCGCCATGCGCCAGAAGCACTCACACGAAATCCTGTGAAGGCTGCATTCTATCTGGTGCTCGCCTCAGAACAGCGTCCTGATAAGGGCTGATGTATATTTAGTTCAATGTGTCAAGAAGGAGTTGGACCCCCAACCAAAGGATACCCACAGCTGCTGGGGGGTTTCCAATTTGTTGACATTGTTAGCCAGGTGCTTTGGCTTGAACTGTGGCATGCTTGCGTGTTGGCAACATGCCTCCAGGCTGCAACAACAAATGCTGGAACCCGTGAGCGTCCGTCCTTCTGCTTGGAGAGGTGGTTGTGGCACGTTGCAAAGGCTGTGTGCCACTAGGGGTAGGTTGACTCGAGGACAGCTCAAGGACAGCTTGTCAAAGTATATTTCAAAATTTAAATAAAGCAGCGCGCAACAGGCAGTCCTTGGCATACTCTGTGATATTCTTCCGACGAGCACGGAGCATAACTTTAGGCAAGCCCAAGTCAAAGCTCGGAGAAAGATGCGCCTTCTCAGCTGCACTGGCATCAACACATTTCTTGCATTATGTTGCAAATGTAGACCATATCTACAAGTCTTATTGGCATGTTGTTTCCACTCAGCCACGCTGGAATGCGTAGAAACAGCCGCAAATCCCAGCAATATCAAAAGGAAGGCCACAAACCATCAAGGCCTTGACCTCCAAGCCGCAGGATACGAAGTTCTGGAGCGATTCGACTGCGGCGAAGCTGAGCTGAAGCTTGTGATGGCAAGGCCGGAGTCCTGGCGAGCACTTACTCTCTTTTTCTTGGAGCACAGCTTTTCGTTCAATTAGAAAGCACTTTGTGAGCACTTCTTGAGCTTGTCTTCTTTTTTTGAGCACTTTTCAGCTTCGTTAAAAGCCGAAGAGCACTGAGGATGTTCTTCATTTGGTATTTTGATGGTGTTGGGCGAGTAAGCCGAAGCTTGAGACGCGTAAGGAAACAGGCCGCACCCATCAAATTCGTGTTCACTTCGCCAGCATCGATCAGCCCTTGGTGGGTGACCAGACCTATGGCTCGACTTCCCTGAGATGTCCTCGGCTTTTCCTGCACTGTCGCAGGAGAAAGTGCCAAAGTTGCTTGCAACTTTCAGGAGGTTTTCAGGTATCGGCACTTTGATAAGGGGCTGTGTTCAATGGTTTCACTTGAGTGCTCGCTTGAGCTCACTTGGTTGCTCACTTGGTGGAAAGTAGATCACCTGAGCACCCCGCGGAAAGTTGCCGTCTTGCAACTGAAGAATCAATCGTGCTGGCAGGATCGTGCTGGAGGACTTGACAGGAAACACTATGGTTGCTGAAGCAGCTTTGCCCAAGGAGCTTGAGGATATCCTGTTGCTTTTGAGATCTGGCAGGGAGAAAAAGAAGCTTGCAATGAGTTCAAAAGAGGATATGCAATTCTTTGCATTGGAGCGCTGCGCAGAATTGGATTCAGAGTCAGCGAGTGCCGCAGCATTAGAAGCGCAAAATGTGTTCTTTCAGTCAATCACATATGCTGTGATGCGAACCCGAAATTCCTTGGATGCTTGGCATTGCATCGTGGCCTCCTGGTTTGGTTTCATAGGGAATGAGCTGCCTTGCCAGGCTGGCCAAAGTGCCAGACCGTGTTGCAAGAAAGCCATGGCGCCGTTGGCTCACCGGCTCGGTGGTCATACTCGACGACGCTTCTGGGCTCAGCTCCGTTGCTGCAAAGCCGCCCAAGCGGGTGTCGCAGAAGTACGGCTACAGCTTGCCGGAGGAGTACACGAGCCTCCTTGACCGCTTGAAGGAGAGGAGGCCTCTTGAACAGCTGTCCCGAGAGAGGGACGAGAGGGACGAGAGGGATGAGATGGACGAAAGGGAGAACTCACGACAAAGGAATCGCGAGTTTTGGTCCACGGCGAGGGCTTTTGCCAAGCAACGCCTAGCCGGATCCTCGCCAGATTCCAGCCCGTCAGAGCTCCGTGTGGCAAAGCTACATGAGAGTTTATGGCTGGAGGAGTTGCGAACGCATTTGGAGCTTCAACGTTGGAGCACCACTGTGGAGGAGATCCAATTTTCGAGGAAGGGCTCCATGGTTGTTGTTGGGAAACATTTTACATTTTTGCTTATTTTTGGTTAGTGGTTGAAATCCAACCACGTCAATGCTATTTTTTTCAATTTTTGCTCCCCTTCCAACGTCAAAGGCTTGGCCCAGCTGGAGATCAGCAAGATTTTCGACCAGTTCCCCCACGCCTTCGAGGCCCTGCACCGCGGCGTGCGCGTAAAGATCCGCAGCGGGGATGGCGAGGAGTTCAGCTCGGCGGTTCAGCCGGGGAGCGGCTCCGGGACGCTGCTGGCGTCGCTGGAGGGCCTGGAAAACGCCCAGGGGCCGTACCAGGTGAGCCACAATCAAAATTCGGGTAAGTGAGGCGGTTAGGAAGGGCCAATCCCAATCCCCTTGCCATAAATAGCTTCGGAATTCCGCCTGCTTCATTCTTTACACAGTTCTGGGTAGACCATTTTTGTGCCGGGTTTTGATTGTGACTCAGGTGGACTTCCTGCCCATGCGGTTCCCGCAGCGGGCCATGCACCGGGCGCTTGATAGTGGCCGCGCCGGCGAGGTGCTGAATGAGGTGCAGAATGGAGATGAGAAGGATGCGGAGTGTCAGACTGAGCAGTCGATCTCCTTGCCAGGGTCACTGAACTCGTGTCAGAAGCGCGCCATTTGTTCTGCTCTTCACTCCCGCAGCCGGCTGCCCACGGTGATTTGGGGCCCCCCAGGCACCGGCAAAAGCACGCTGGCGGCGTTCTTGATTTGGCAGTTGGTGCAGAACCCCAGGGCTCAGGTCCTAGCCACGGCACCGTCCAACACGGGAGCCGACGTGCTGTGTGCCAAGCTGGCAAAGATCGGGCTCGACGAGAGCCGCATGCTGCGCCTCAACGCGCTGGGCAGGGACGTCAAGACTGTGCCGGAGGAGATTCAAGCCTACGGGTTCACGTCCTATGTGGAAGGCCGATCTGTGTTCCAGATTCCAAGCCTTCCGAAGCTGCAATCATATCGGGTTGTCGTGGCGACATGCATTTGCGCTGCTCACATAGCAGAAGTGATGCGGAGAGAGGGCGGGTCTGCGTGGTTTTCTCATGTCGTAGTAGACGAAGCTGCAGAGGCCACTGCACCTTGCCTGTTGGATTGGCAAGCTTTGTGGGGTCTGGTGCGTGGCTTCATTGCTCTAAAGGACCAAGCACGCTCCTTCAGGAGGCACTCAAATCCTTGTGATTCCATGTGCCGCCAGGGTTTTGTTTCTGGATCCGTTTGGTTTTCTCTATTGCTCACCTACTGAAGATGTCGCTCTATGGGAAGTGCACGCCATGGAGCCCTGTCTTGCAGTTCATCTGATAACCAAACTGTGTCAAGCATCTAAAACGTGGATACATGTTGTGACGCACTCAGCATTTTTGTTCTGAAGTGTTTTTTTCAGGGCGAAGATAGGGCCCACAATGCTACGACGGTGTCCGGAGGTTGAAATGAGTGAGCAGAGGCAGGCGTCATTTCCTGTAAGCCGCCTTGGGCGTGGCTTTAAAGAGGGAAACTCATTTGCCAGTAAAGTATTATAAGTCAAAGCCAGGCACCCTCCTTTGGAACAGCAAACATCAAAGCTCCAGCGAACACTCGGCTTGAGAGGAAGCCAACCAGACCTCCGAAGAAGCCGACTTGGCAACCTAGACGCCTAAAAAACTGCCTCGAGGAAATCCCAATAGGGAACTCCAAGCTGAAAAACCAGCTTCAACCTGATCCATTTCAGCCCTCAACCGATCCGCCAAAGCCACACCTCAATCGGTGGCGCAAAAGTTCCGTCGGTTCCGTGGGTTTTGGTGCACCCGAGGCTTGGATCCGTTTTTTCTTTTCTCGTTTGTTTGTTTTTGTTTTTTTCCTGGGGCTGGTCTTTTTTGTTTTAGTAGGGCTGGTCCGTTGGTGGTTGGTTGGTTGGTTGGTCTCGTTTAGGATCGGTTTTGGGGCGTTGCCCCAAACCACCAAAGCTCGCCCACAACTCACTTAACCAAACCCTAAAGCAACCCTAAAGCCGCTGCTAAACCAGCAGCACACCTAACACAAATCAGCTCCAAACCAACCCAAACCCACTCAAAGTCAACCCTAAACCCGCCCAACAGCAGCCTGGATGTCAGCCCTTCGCTTCGCCTAAATCAACCCCAAACCACGCCAAGACTCATCCTCATGAAGATCTAAGCCAGCCCAACCCCCCGTAACTTAAAGTGATGCTGGTGATGCTGGGGATGTTGCCAGCCCTGTGGAAAACCAGCCCTAGGAGAAAAAAACAGCCCTAGGTTAAACAAAAACACACAAAACAAAAACAAAAAAACACCCCGTTGCCCCCAGGGCTTTTGATTGTTTTGGTTTTTGGCGGAGAAAAAATAATCTCAGGTGATATCCCCAACAGCATGCGGTGCTCTTTTGAGTGCTCGCGCCACCCCGGACCACCCCGGACCACCCCGGAGCCTATCTGGGCTCCGTGTCGGGTTTTTGTTGACCCGGAGGAGCCGGAGACCTTGGTGCCCGCACAGCTGGCCAGCCGGGAGGGACGCCTGATTCTGCTGGGCGACCACTTCCAGCTGGGGCCCTTGGTGCCGCTCCGATGCGAAGAGTCGGGGGTCTCCTTAAATAGGGGGAGCACCCAGCCCCACCCCCCCCCCCAAGGAGGAAAAGTAGCTGGTGTTGTTTTGGTGGTTTCCCTTGTAACCAAGCAAAACCAGAGTTTGCTTTCAAAAAATACCCATTTGTTGGTCGAGTTTTGGCGGCCCCGAGTTGGTGCTTTGGGCGTCCAGGTTCAGAAATCCAAATCGTTGGCCGACCATTTTCGGCAAATGTCAGGCAAGCATTGCCATTGCAAGTTCTATTGCCGCAATGTTTAACCGCAGCTTTCTGGCCATGATTCCGGGGGGCTTCACGGGGGCTGATTCAGGGGGGCTGGGAGGAAGGGAGGGGAGGGGAGGACAGGGCCGGGAGCAGGACCATTGACCCTTTCTGTGAAAAGGCATGGGTTCGTTCAGCGAGGCTTTCCTCGGTGGCGCGGCGTATTGCCAATTTGGACGAGTCCATGATCCAGCGTCTGGCCAACGAGCGGTTCCATGCCGCGGAGGGCCTGTCCCGGGACACCCTGGCGGTATGCGAAACCAAGGACCTCTTCTTCCTCACGGAGTCTTTCCGCTCCTTGCAAAGCGAAGGATGCCTTGAAGTATCTGGGGTTTAAGAACTCGGTGACCTAAATAGTGGAACTCGGAAAAGAAGACCTCAGGGTATGCCCGAGTTTGTCGGGTTGGACTCTTCGCAGATCGCTTTGACCGGGCTTCCAAAAGAATTGATAGCGGAAATCAACCACCTCATTCCACAGTTGACTTTCAGCAAGTCTTTTGACTTCCATGCATGCAAACCATCTCGGGCGCCATTCTGGGCAAAGCACTTATTAGTCATTTGTCCCAGCTGATTCGTGCGATCCTCTCGTGAAGCAGCTGACGTTTGGCGAATCCTTTCAGCGAGCCAATTTGTGACTCAGGCTCCCATCCTGACATCTTGGAGATCTACTCCAAGGCTCGTCATGTGCGGGGAGTCTGCCAAGATGTGGGATCCTTTGAGGGCTACGTTGATTGGCTGTGCGGGCTAGGTCGATTGCTGGTTGATCCCTAACCTTATGGTATCATATGGTATCATTCAAGCATTGCATTGCAGCCTTAGCTGTCCACAGCCGTTCAAGCTTTCAAGCAGCCACTTGGCCGCCAAATCTTCCAGACCGCGATGATGGGTATCAGGCCAGGGCATGTTTGATGTGAATCAGAGCAACTTAAGACTTGCGCCGCAGGGTCTTGGCGATGGTCGTGCTGGGCTTTAGCCTTCAATCTGTGCGCTCCGATCCTTGGCTGGCTGAATCTGCGGTTCTCATGACTGGGTGCACTACACCAAGAGGCGCTCGAGTGGCATGTTCTAAGGAAACCGGCACGTTGCAGGACACGAACCAGGCCTCGGGCAATACAGAGAACTGGATTGGGACCTCCCGTGGCACCATATCAATCCATGTCTCACCCTCCAAAGATATCGTGCTGAGGGCTGATTGTACCCGTCAACCATTCTAGCCGACCTGTGGAGAAGGGTTGAAATGGTCCCAATTCAGCTAATCATGTGCCATGGCATGATGTGAATCTTTGAGAGCTTGCCATAGCTTGCCCAGACAGCGGTGGCGCGTGAGCTGCTTCAGTATCTGCAGACCAACGGCACGCAGGCGTGTGAGCTTTGCATGGCTGCTTTGTGATGCGTTAGTATTGCGTTGGCTATTGTGATATTGAGACACAGGGAAGAAAGACCCTTGCAATTTGCAACTCGATGCTTTACACGGATGGTCATAATCTCTTGAGTTATTTGACCTTGGCCCATGTTGTTTTGCAGCATGCGAGTGGACAGACCCATTCAAAGCTTTGATCTCGTCGCAGAACTCCTTGCGTGGCCTTCTTGCAGCTTGGCAAGAAGAACCACAGCGGCGCTTCGGGTGACAAGTGTCCTGTAACGAGGACAGCTTTCCAACGAAGTTTTTGCGGCCACCCCTGGGTTGAGGAGCTTGAGACAGTTTTGGCCATCAGGATGTTATGTGCCAAAACTCGAGAGCTATCTTGAGACGACGGGGTTTCTATCTGTTTGGGAGAATGTCTAGCTTTGAGGGCCAGATGTGAGCCATGATGCTGGTGTGATCGGCTTGAAATGCTGCGGCTGGCCGAGGGATCGCAGGACGCTTGTTGGATCTCCCGTCACAATTTGCACCTCGATGGCATGTGGAGCGAGCGAGCGAGTCGAGCGAGTGGAGCGAGCGAGCCGAGTGTGGGTCGCTCGGGGTTTTCAGATTGTGTTTTTTGCAAACATGGGACATGGAACCCAAGGAGCATGCCATAGCATGCCGCCCTATTGGCTCCTAATCTCCAAGCACTCCTTGGGCCCCATGGCTGTTGTGCGCATAGAGCCCGGCAAGGTGGGACTGTGGCCTGAATTGCTACCACACCAGCACCTTCAACTGGAAGCCCTGCGCGGCCAGGCGCCGAACGGGGGCTTTCATGGGAAAGCCCAAGAGCCTAAGGAACGAACCAACGAACCCCACCAGATTCCGCCAGGTGCGTGTCCTTCCAGGCCTTGAGCACCCACTGCAACCTTTGCCTGTCTCATTTGGTGAGCTGCGCGGCTTGGCAAGGCCAACGGGAAAGCGACTGGCGCAGGCTTCTTTTGTTGTCGTCGATTGTGAAAATCGAACGGATGGAACGTGTTTTTTTTTTGTTGTTGTTTTTTTTTTGGGGGGGGGAATTGAAAGGAAACCAGCCATTCGAGCTTTCGGCCCATTCTCTCTCCCTTTGTCTCTGTCAGTCTCTCTGTCTCTCTCTAGCTGTCTATCTCTCTCTCTCTCTGTCTCTCTCTCTCTCTCTATTTGTCTCTCTCTCTCTCTCTCTATTTGTCTCTCTCTCTCTCTCTCTGTCTCTCGCTCTCTCTGTCTCGCTCGCCCCCCTTCCCCGTTCTGACCCCTTGTTTCTCTTTCTGGCTGAGCGGCCAATGCATCTGAGGTGCTGCAGCAGTGCGTCTCGCCATGTGCGCTCAGCACTCACACGCCGGCCTGCGAAGGGTGCATCCTCACTGGTGCTCTCCTCAGTTGGACACTCTCATCACAGTGATGATAGCGTGGAATGGGGATGATCCATCTCCAGGCTGCAACGACAAGTGCTGGAACCCATGAGCATCCGTCTCGAGATGATTGTGGCACACAGCAAAGAATGTGTGACACAAACGAGGGGTCATGGGGTAAGCTCGAGCGAGAGGCATCCAATTGGACAGCGACATTGACAGTTTGTCAGAGAATGGCTGCTTGAACGTTTGAGCTCAAGTGTGATGCCTCAAGTCATGAGCTTATCAATATGGCTCAAAGCGTAGTCCTTGCATGCTCTGCAATGTTCTTCCGACACAGAGCAGAACTCTCGGCTGGCCCAAGTGGATTCTTGAAAAAGATGTGCCTTCTCTGCCCTGGCATCAACGCTGAGCTGCTTGGAGGGCAGGTGATTTCATTGCCGGATGTCTCTGGCAAACCCGTGCACATAGGTGGTCCATTTTGGTTGTTTTGGTAGAAACATAGATGGCCCTGGTTTACCTGGTGGTTTAATCATCTACCAGGGCCATCTATTTACCCTAAATGGACACCTACGCCCGTGCAGGCACCGTGGGCACGTAGCATTTGGGTCCCGGACAGGTGTTCTACAGCGGGCAGCTGGAGCACCGGCATCGGAGGGTCCAGAACCGCCTGCTGCCCTTTTTCCAGGCTCAGGGATGCCCAGGTCTCAGACCGGAGAGCTGCGGGAGTGCTCGGATTGTTTGGTCCGCATGCTGTGGAGGGTGCTTTTTTTTTGTTGTAATTAAGTGTTTTTTTTTTTCTGTTTGAAGTAGTCTTGTTTTTTTTGCAACCATGACCATGGGAAGGGGGGTCCTTCTTTTTTTCCCGGAATCATGACCGTGGATGCCATGGGGTTCTGTTTTTTTGTTTGCATGGAAGCCGACTGGGAGGACACTTGCCCAACACAAAGCAAAAGTCATATCAGATTCTTAAGCTTGGCACAGACACGGACCGTCATCCAAGAGGTTTTCAGAACGAGTTCCAAAGACCGGGTCACAAGTTGGCCTTTGCCGCTGTGACCAGTCGCGAGAGTTCCGTTGCCCTTAGGCCACAGCCCGATCATCATGCACAACGTGGTTGGCCAGGAAGGTGAGGAGCCCAAGCAACCGAAGCAACAAGCGGCAACCAGCGGCCTAACCAGCGGCCCGTCGGCCGGCACGGCTAAGCTCCTGCGCAGTTGTTTGCATCACCTCAAGTCAGGGGTCTCCTCCAAAACTATTTTAGTTTGGGTAGACTGAAAATGGGTGTGGGTCAAAAATAGGTAGCGGAAATGGAACCCTGGTCTAGGGAAAGAAGACGAAAACCTGCGGTCCCTGGTGGTTTAATTTTGACCCACACCCAAATAAGGCAGAAACTAACAACCCATTTTCTGCATGCGCCAGATGTGCGCCAATAATTTTACCTTCGGCAAATTGAGGTTCTGACACTGGCTCACCATCGCTCTTCAATTTAGAGGAGGTCGGAGACCGCATGCAGTGATGGTCAGATTGTGGGGAGCCAAGTGCGGGCCAATCTGCGTTCAAATTGCGGAGGTGCGCATTGTGCAGCACTACGTGCTGGAGCTGCTTGCTGCAACAGGTGCGGCCTGTGATGCCGTGCATGTTCATCGAAGTGGCCGCCAAGCTTGCTCCAATCACAGCCTGGCTTGTTTGCTTGGGCAATGGTATTTCAGCCGCGGAGCGGAAGTTCCGACCATGGGACATGTTTGTTGAATCCTCTCCGATGTTGATGTTTGATCAAGTCTCAAGGTCTTGAGGCTGACTGCAGCTCTTCGGTTTCGCCTGAGGCGTTTGGGGCTAAAAGACGAAGGCACGAGCCAGGCCCAGACAACAGGCCGCTGCTGGCTCCAGAGGACATTGGCATCATCACTCCATATGCCGGTCAGGAGAGAGACTCAGACGCCAGGGGGAGACACAGGGTTTGTGTTCAGATACGGGATCCCCCCAAACCAGGTGTTCATCGTGGTTTCCCCGAGAAGAAAAGCAAGAGTGCCCCCCCCCATTTTGAGTTTTGGCGGTGTTTGCAGTGAGGCCAGAGGCCGGAAGCCTCTTTGAGGTCTTTGGGGGGGGGGGGGAACTGGATAAATTGTGCTGGCAGAGCAATCTGTCAGGCTTTCGTGCTGAATGTTGTTGGCGGCCAAGGTGCAGCGGTTGCAGAGAGAGTTGAGTGCACAAAGTTCCGAGCTGAGCAATTGAGTGCGTCTTACAGCTTGGAGAAGTTTGGGTGACTCGTCTTGACCATGGGCCAAGATCCGTCCCAGGCTCCACATTTTCTGACATCGAGGTGGGCACCGTTGAGCACTTCCAGGGGCAGGACGCTTGTGGGAGGAGGCAGCCATCGGAGGGATCAATACCTCAGACGTATACGGGATCTGTTTGGGCAAGGTGAGTCATTTCCTGTTGTTTCCTCCCTCCAACAGCAGCTTGGATTTGGGCCGACCTTCTACTCTTTTTTCTTGTCGCAGAACGATTGGCGAGCTGAGCGATATGGACTGCCAGGAGAAGTCTGTGGTAATCCTCTCAGCTGTCCGATGCCAGAACGGCAAGGAGGAAGGGAAATCGACAGACCCGGGGCTGGGGCTGGGAATTCTTTTGAGCCTCTGGCAGGAGGGCGACCCAGGCTGGGAAGTGCTTGCAAGTCCACAGCATTTCGGGGTGAGCTCTTTGAATATGGAAAATGAGAGTGACCCCTAGAATTCCATTTCTGGTTTCATTTTCCCCTTTCTGGGGAAGGCTAGATAAATGGAATTGAGGGACCCCCAACCCCCCGTGGCCCTTAAGGGAATTACGGGGGATGTGAGAGGAATGGCCAGTTGCAGCCAAGTGGCTCTAGACTCTACAAGCATTAAGACGGCATGGCATCATTCGTCAAGGGTCAGCCTTGCTGAGCATCATCAAGCCAGTGTTTAGTGGAGCAGAGCTGGATTGAGGTCATGCAAGGCGAGCAACCGAGATGTTCCATTTGCTATAGTCTTGCATGGGATTGATCTATAATATATTAATATGTGTATATATAACGTATATGTATGTAGGCATACCTCATATCATATAGGACAAGTATTCGGATTTGAATTTCTTTCTTTCAGACTCCCTTACGCAATGGCCGGGTACAGCAGCACTTCCGCCAAAAGCCGGGCGCGCCTGGACATCGCCTACGAAAGCGAGGCCCTTTGATAGCCAGCATTGTTCCAGTCGTTCCCGTCGCGCAATTTCGCTGCTGGTTACTGTTGTCAACTACACCCAGGCCCTTGCTTTCTGAATTTGCTGGTTTGGAGTAGCACTTGGGAGGTGAATCCCTGGTTGATGTTTGAAGTTTGTAGGAGCTAAGCTAGGGTCATCCCTTCTACCTCTAAATCGCTGACAGCCGACGCTTCGAAGTTTCCGCAACTTGGCATTGCAAAGACATTGCTACATTGCCATCTTGCAAACTCGTCTCACCGTAACATTCCAAAAGCCATTGTGGTTTCCACTACTTGTCTTTTGGCATCAGTGCGTGTAGAGAGACGGCGCTTGTAATTGTAGTCGCATCAACAGCCCCAGGAGACAGCGAGACCATTGGCAGAGATTGCCAGCACCGCCCACGACGGCGACAACTGCGCAATAGCCACCTCCCCGTTGCGGAAGGGCACTCGATTTGCCTGGAAAGGTGGGGCCGACTGCCCGAATGAAGTTGAAGCACGCCCGCTACAATTCTTTGATGTAGGTGAGGTTGTTCCTGGCTGCGGGGCTCAATGGTAGCTTGGGGGCGCTATGAGACCCTTTGCCCTGAAGGCTCGGTGCACAGACTGTCCCATGCGCTGTTGGAGGGGCACCGCTTTGCTTTGGAGCATATAGCGGAGGGCGCAAGGCTCAGAGGGAGCTGACATGGAAGCAGAGTCAGGTGGCTTGTGGTGGCTACATTGCGGCTATGGTGGCTTTTATTTGGTTGGTGGAGGGCGATTCAAGGCGGAACTTGCTGGCTACAAATTGTCACGCCCTAATTCATGGGTTGCCAATTCGCCCCCCTTTCCAAAGGCCACACCTCGCTCAGGGGAGAGCTTGACCAGCTGGTCGCTGCCCTTCGGCACGGCCTTGCGGTCCCTGAAGCCCGGGGACTACTGCTGCAACGGCCTGATGCTGAAGGCGGCCGGCCGGGCTTCGCGCGCCTGGCGCGCGCCGTCAGACTCGGTCAGACTCGGTCAGAGGTGCGAAGGAGGTCCCAATGTTTGTGTTTCAAAGACTGGGCGACCATGGCCAACGCTTCATGCTTGACCTCTGACTCTGAAAAGCCGACGATGAGCGCTTGCTGTGGGGCTCATGGTCAGAAGCCAAGAGACAGTGAGATTTCTGGGAGGCCTTGAAGGGGAGGAGAGACGTGGACTTCCACCTGCCTGAAACACCCAACTTCAGCGATCCTGATACCTCGGCCTCGTGGCTTGGTGGATGTCTGCGTTTTGATCGGATGTTTTTTGTTTTTTTCCTTCGAGAATGCTTGTCTTGGCGACTTGCAAACACACCTGGAGCAAATCAGTGTCGTCGCCCACAGAAGCTTTTCCCACCGTCTTGCAGCTTCTCGATTGCATTTGCAGAGAGCCGCGGCATGCTTTTTGTTAGTCTAGGTGCCCATTCCACTTCGACGAGAGTACCTTTGTGGCCGGGAAGCAGGTAGCTGCGCCCGTTTGCTTTTGTGCTGATTCCCACCGTGTGAGGAACCTTTGTTTATTTCTTGGGTTTTTGGCCGCTGCCATAATGAAAAAATCCAATGCGTAGTGTGTCAGGCAGGGAGAGGGGGGCATACGGACGACTAAAAATAAATAAATCTGGAACCAAATTGAAAAGGAACCTTCGGCAGGCAGGCATGCAGCGCCAGGCTTCTCTTGACCTCGCCGCAGATTCCACCTTCGAAGGCTTCGCCAGGAGCGGTGGAGTTCGCCAAAGACTTGGCGGGGGGGGGGGTGGAATACCCGGGCCTGTGTTCGTGAACCCATTCTTTTGGCACCTTTTGAGGGGCAAACTGGGAATGTTGGCAAAACCCATCTCCCCAGGTGTGATGTGTTGGTTTCTGGTGCCAAATTCGACCCAATGCCTGACGGAGGACTGGCGGACGCGGCGTGGGCACTCGCAACAAGGCCGCTTACTCTCTGCCCCTTTCGTGCATCAAAGCTGCGGCATCCTTGTGGAAGTACAGACTGCGGATATGGCAGGGCCTCCAGATGTGACACCTTGCAGTGACGCCTTAGCCTTGCAAGGGAGCCCCTGGATTGGACTCCTGGTTCCCCCTCCATGCATGAACCGGGCATGGGCTCATTGTGAGACCTGCTCCGATCTGTTACCACTTCCCAAGGGAAAACTATGCAATATAGACCTGGAGACCTTTCAAGGTACCGGTTTGAAGGACCCTTTACGGGTAAGTGGAATCATTGATGCAATCGTTTGGCATCGAGCCAGGTGGTCCTCATTGCGCTCACAGTGTCCTCTGCCAGCTTCGTGCGCGCCCTTGAAGCGAAAATGACGTCGCTGGAGAGTCCCAACCTGGATGGCGTGGTGGCTGTGGCCCACAACGAGGGATTCTCGCCTGGAGTCGGGGAATGGCTGTTGCGCCCACGTTGAAAATGAGATCCGAGGGCTGTCACTTTCGCATCGGATTTGTAAGTTACCGTCTTTTGCGATGTGGGCCGCCTCAAGGCGAAAGCAAGGTGCAGAACAACAAGGAGTTGCTGTTGAGGACCATAGCGGGATTCATCGTCCATCCCAATACGGGAGCTGCACTGGTGGTCTCCACAGGCAGGCACAAAGCCTGGGCAAGTTGCGGCCAGCAGCTGTGCTCCTGCGGCTTTCCTAAAATGAAATACGACCTAATGTAATACACGATATATGTTATATAAACATATATATATATATAATATAACACATATAGTACATATGGCTGTGGGTCAAAACCAATGGCACCATGTTGGGTTGGGGTGCACAACCCATGATAGTCTATTTTAGCGGGGATTGGGATGTTCACTGGGGGATAACGGGATTTTGACCCATGGCCATGTGTGTGTGTGTATCTCTTTGCACGGGGACACAGGCACTTCAGGCACTTGCTTTGCCTTGGCTCTCGGGGTATGGCTCTCGGGCGCAGGCCAGGAGCGCAGCGTGGGGCTCTCGGAGCTGAAGAAGTGCCTCCAGGCGTATCCGGCGGACCACGTGCCGCCGGAGCCTCAGACCGGGTTCATCCGGGTTCACCAAAAGGCCATGGGCCAAAAGCCCGGTGATCCCCCTGTGAACATCCCAATCCCCACTAAAAAAAGGCTCTAAAATGGGTGGTGCACCTAGCCCAGAATGGTACCATTGGTGTTGACCCACGGCCAAATGAGTGTGTTTTTTCCTTTTTCTGAGGTACCGTTTTGGGTGGCTTAAAAGAGGAAGAACAGGAAAGTCACAATTTTGAGGGTCCCCTATTGTGGGACACACGCGAATCTATTGAAGGTGAGCATTTCGGCGAACTTGCGCAAGCCCGATCGCTCTGTGCCAACCAGGACCACCCCTTTTGGCAGTGAAAGAGCAGAGCGCAAACCAAGCATTCAGAAGGGGTCCCCTGATTGTGAGACATACTTTGTATGGCATTGGTATTGCTTTCTACAGGTGCAGGATCTCAAGTGCCGTATAGTGCCGTACAACCTGATTTCATGCTTTTGGGCGGTTGACCTCTCGTCTCTTGTCGTTTTTTGTTGAGTCGTCGAGTCGTCGAGAGGCACGAGTTCCTGGAGCTCAGCGGCAGCTGGCAGGCAGATCTGCAGCGCGCCCAGGAGGCGGTGGAGCAGAGGCTGGCGCCTCGCGCGGCCGAGGCCGATTTGCGCTGACCGCGAAGTGTGCGCGGCGCTTCGTGGAAACAAACTGCACTTGGCATGTCATTCATATGACAGGACATAGTACGGACATAGTATGGCAAATGCAAAATAAGTCAAAACAAATCTGAACTTCAATCGAAACGAAACAATCTAGTATGTATTATACATATATATATATATATATATGTCCTGCTTTGGTGTGTGTGCAGAAGTTTGTTGTCCCAATTCCAATTGCTCCTGCCCCTGCATATCCCTGCATTAAAACGAGAAACCAGGAAAAGGGTGGCTCTCTGTGGCATCCAAACAGAGTTTTCTTAGGAGGCTGCAAGCAAGCCAGTGAACATGCTTTGGCTCGTAGGCGAACCGATTTGAGCCATCATGGCTCCGTGCAATGATGAGGTGTTCAAGCCTTGCTTTTTCACCCCAAGACTATAGAACGGCAGGACAAGTTGCTGAAACGTGTACGCATATTATACATGTATGTATATGTATGCATATTGATACACAGAGCATATGTTCCTACTCTACCAGCAAGCGGATGGAGACTCCATTGCATCAGCACAACTAGGCGCCATGATCAGCGGCCACGTGTGCTTAGCGCTTGAGTCAAAGCTGCGAGCGGTCTCCCAATTGCTTCAGCTCAGGGAATCCACGCTGGCGTGTGCGTGTGTGTTGTTGTGTTTTTGTGCTGTGTGTGTGCTCAGCTTGGCATCACATGAGCATATGCCACCCTGCAGTACTGCCGATCTACCCAGCCGGTCTCAGCCCTTTGCATCGCTTTGCAGTGTCCGCACCTCAGAAACCCATCCGCGTGCGCAGGGCTCGGCATAGAAACCGTCAGAAAGCTCAAAGGCTCAAAGGGCGAACCCAGGTTCACCCTGGATGTCCGAAGCTTCACACAGGGCAAGCCCACTTCAATCCGATTCAACCCCAGTTCCCCGCGGGTTGAGTTCCTTTTCAAGTCCAGTCCATTTCGGGCGAGGCGGGGGATCCGATGCCTTCAGCGGCATCACCGGCAATCCGCTGGTGGGCGAGATCGCCAAGCTGCTGCTGGTCCGAGGCCCGCGCAGCCAAACCGCGTCTCGAACACACCCAGTGTGGTGTGTTGTACATCGATGCCGACCCAACGACCCAATGGGGGGGGTGCGTTTTTTGGGACATGCCGGCGGTCAGGTGGATGAACATCCATTTGATGTTCACCAGGGGTATAGGGTTTTGACCAACAGCCACATGATCAGATCCAATCCAGCAAAACAGACAGAGAATTGAGCGCAGTGCTCAACGCCCCCCCCCCCCCCCATGGAGCATTTTAGGTGGTTACGGTTCTACCCGCTTGAACAAGGATTACAGTAAGGCCTCAAATGGGTATGTATCAAAATTTAACCACCAGGGGACTGCACATTTTAGTCGTTGGTTCCATTTACCAGGGTTCCATTTTGGGGTTACCCTATTTTTGACCCACAGCCAAATCTCTATAAATCTTGGAGGGTTGCGTGGATTCATCGGCAGGTGGGCTGGCATTACTGGCTGAGAGTCCGGAGTTGGTGGGCGCGGAGCCCTACATTTTGGCCAACTGCCGCACGTTGGAGGTGGCCAGGAGCTTCTTGAACCTGTCCCCTGGCATCAGTTTAGAGCCCCAGATTTCAGGTTACCCCCGCCCCTTGGATTGGTGGGTTCGGGGGTTGATCCCTCAAATCACCAAGTAGAGGACACCTGAGAATTGGCCAAATTGACAAGCACCCGGTGTTTCACCAAATTTAGATTACAACTACTACAACCCCTGGCATCGAGGCCAATTGGCACTCGGTTTAACGGGAATTGATGTGAATAGATTACAACCACTATGCCAACTACACCTAAAATGCAGCTTCAATTGGCATCCTGAGTTGTTTTTTTACAAGATACAATTATCCAGAGAACTTGCAAATTTTGCAAGGATAGCATTCCTCTTTTGGGATTCAGACGGGTTTGACGTTGGTCCCTGCTTGTGAACCCCCTCGAGAAGCGCAAGCGGTTTCCGGAGCAATTATTCTGTGGCAGCGACGTCTCTAGTGTCATGCCTCGGCAGCGATGATGTTGTGTTGATGATGCTTCGAAGAATGGGAGAGCAATCTACTTCCTGATGCCTTTGACCGGGGCTTTACACTCCCTCAGGCTACCATGGAAGCTCCCCCAATTGGCCTCTGTAAATGGAACCAAGTCTTCCATTTCAGGTCCTGGGAGCTTCCATGGAATCGTCTGGGGGAGGATATGCAAAAAACTGCTTCTTGTGTATGGATCAGAATTAAACCACCAGAAAACCACAGGTTTTGGTCCATGTGTCCACTTCCCACGGTTCCATATGGGGGTTGCCCCATTTTTGACCCACAGCCATGCCTGTCCTCCATCTCGAGGACGGAGCGATACAAGCAGTATGCATCTCGCCATGGCCAAGATGCAGCAGGAAATCCCTCCGGCGGCAACTTGTTTCGCGGTCTCTACAACATTGTGAGTCTTGGTTGAAAGCACAGCGTGGGGTTTTCCACGCCCAAGCCGAAGACTTGCCATGTCACTAAACAACAGTGGTTGGTATACCCGAAAGATTTTCGGGGCGATTTGTTTGGGTGCGTGTTCTATTGATGTAGAATGTACAAGTGACGGCAAAGTGTTCGGAGCGCACACTGCAAAACGCCCTGCGTGTCCCGAAATTGGCATGTTGGCATGGTTGTTCAGCCTCGGTGCGGAAGTGCTCGAATTTTCAACGGCAATCGCATCATGGTAAGAACTCTTAGCCAAGTGCCCTGTGGCTCAGGATCAAAAGTCTGGGTGCGTCTCGGAAGAAGCCTCCGGATGTTTGCCTGGACCGGTGCATCGAATACGGTGAACGGGTCGGCGGAAACGAATCAGGCTGGCCCGTTCACGCCTTGAACTTATCCATCAGACATGTTGTGGTTGGTCCCATCCAGCCAGTTTGCACATGGAATGCGGCAGCAGCTGATATTGGCTGATAGGCTTACATATCACCGTTCAAGTGCAGTTTGACAACTCAAAGGAAAAGGCATATAAGATGTGTATTCTGATGGCTGTGTGCGCAGGCTACTACTTCATGGACTCACCGGGAAATGACCTGGAATCTATTGCCGGGCAAGTGGCAAGCGGCTGCAATGTGATCTTCTTTGTGACCGGAAATGGGGTGAGGTCCCCAGGCGTCCGAGCGAGGTGATATGTCACAGCGGCGCATCGCACTCACTAAGTCAATTGCTTGTTTTCATATTCGTGCTCTTCCAAAAAATGAAGCTGGAGTGGTGTAAAACGGGGAAAACTACTTTATAATTGGGCCGGTCCTTTTCGTCACACACCCCTGCAAATCTTCAAGAAAACAATTATGATTACCCTTGGCACAGCTGCCTCGCGTACTAAGCAATGAAAGAGAGCAGCACCAACCAATCTTGCTGCTCAATTCCTTATGGCTTCTTGTTCAATGTAGCCATGGCGAGCGCAATATGATTCAAAGAGTGCACTTGCGCGGTACCAACGGCCCCAGGCCATTACCAATTTCCCCTTCGTCCCGACGCTCAAAGTTGTGACAACCTCTGGCCGATTCAAAATCCTGGAGAAGGACATGGACATCAATGCAGGGCTCCTGAACGAGGGGATGACAATGAATGATCTGGCTGCACAGGTGTATTCGCTGATGATGCTGAGCTGAACAGAAGAGCCTCGTTGTGTGCCGCTCGTTGCGTTTTGTCATGTTTGATGTTGCATATGTTAGATCTGCGGGCCTGTGTATTTAGTTGTGTTGCTGTTCTGTTTGTTTGTGTGTTTGTGTTTGTGTGTGTGTGTTTGTCTCATTCTCTCTGTCTCTCTGTCTCACCGTCTCCTTCTTTTTTGTGTCTCTTCATCCCTGCGTCTCTGCCTGTCGTGTCCTGTCCTGTGCCGTCCTGTGTGTGTGTGTGTATGTGCCAGGCGTGTGTGTGGTTTATACTTCTTGTGGTTTATGGTGTTTACAAGGTGTGTGTGTGTGGTGTATGGTCTGCGAGTGTGTGGTTTGTTGTGCGTGTGTGCGGTTTACGGTGTGCGTGTGTGGTTTCTGGTGTGTGCGTGTGTTCGTGTGCTGTCTGTGTGTACGTATGGTGTGGTGTGCTGGGGTGTGGTGAGATGTGTTGTTTGTGCTTGTGTTTGGCTTTGAGTGTGTGTGTGTGTGTGTCTGCGTGTCTATTTGTTTGCGTGTGTTTGAGTGTGTGCATGATGTGGTGCGGTGTGGGGTAGGGTGGGGTGCGGTTGGTCTGTGTGTGTGTGTGCCGCCTCCCGTGCGCGTTTGAGCGAACATCATCGTGGTGTCATAAACTTGATATTGTTTGGCGAGTCCATTTCGTTGAAGCAGGCCTTGCCAATCTGTGAAGCAGCTGTTGCCAATGCTTGATGTCTATTTCAATCGGCTGGCCAAATGAAGGCGAATGGCCAGTATCTTTCGCTTCATCAGTTTTGGGCAAGGGTAGAGTGCCCCATTTCGGGACACTAGCTGCTGGCTCCAAACTCAGAACTTCACAGCCTGTTGGGTCTCAAGACAAAGAGTTTTTTCGACTTGGACCGTTCTGTGCGAGATCAATGTGCATCTGCCCTTAGACAGCACCTAGGATCCGGGTGGCGTCCGGCATGCACAGCAAGGGCGAGATGGCAGGAATCAGCCAGGTCTCCATTTGGCGGAACTGGTTCCTGGACGAGTCCCAGCAAGTCAGCGACTTGCAGGCGGGAAGTTGAGCTGGGAACGCCTCGTCACTCAGTAGGGATAGCCGGATAGTCCAGCCTATGGAGAAGATGATCAAAGAAGCCAAGTCGTGATGCAGAGTTTAGTTACCCACAAAACACACGCGTCGCCCACAAGGTGTTAGTATGCTGCATGCGCGTGTTGGCAGGTTTAGGGTTCTTAGGGTTTAGGTTTAGGGTTTGTTGGGTTTAGTTTTAAGGTTTTGAGGGTTTAGGTTTAGTTTATATATATATATATATTGAAGTTTTTTTTTGTTTAGGTTTAGGGTTGTTAGGGCTTAGGTTTAGGGTTGTTAGGGTTTAGGTTGAGGGCTTTTAAGGTTCAGGTTTAAGGTTTTCAGGGTTGTTTAGGGTTGTTTTAGGGTTTAGGTTTAAGTTGTTTAAGGTTCAGGTTTAGGGTTTTGAGGGTTTTTAGTAGGGTTTCTAGGGTTTAGGTTTGCTTGGAGCTGGCTGTCCGGTGTATCCGAGGATGGCTTCTCTGGTTTAGATTCAGAGTTGTGTTGATGATAGCAGTATATAACCAGGAACAGTCGCCGCGCTCCACGAAGGGGGTACGGAGCATGAAGCTGGGGTGGGGCTCAGGTCGGAAGTGCTTTTTTGCTGCGCCTGCCACGCTTTTTGGAGGTCTCGGGGACCCGCTTCCGGGCGGTCGCGGGCAACAAATACGTTTTGGCCGTTTAGTTACTCGGATGTTTGTGGGAACCACGACTGCTCACAAGGAAGGCAGATTTCGGAGATTGGCACGGAAATGCACAGGCCGAGTTCAACTACGAGCAAAGGGACTTGGAGGGGACTGCCTTGAAGGTGAAGCACCTTGGAGACACTGCGTGCTAACTTGTTCAATCTATCGGGATCTGATGGAGTCTCATGGGGTTGCACTGAGGCAGGAGTGGCTTCCCGCACTCTCCGAATCCAGCGAATGCTTCCTGAAAGATGTTCGCTCCAAAGGCTCCTTGCCTCCCATCGGCTTGATTCTGCTGCTTGGCTAGGAAGGTTTGAAGAGATTCGCAGCGAGTGCAGTGGCAAAGACGGGATTGCAGTGGCAAGAGGCTGGTGAAAGAAGCTTCAGTTCGCTTTGTTTTTTGTTTGCGGCCCCAAGACCATGGGATGAACAGATGTGCTCAACCCCTAAATACGGAGCTACAGCAATCGCGAGGCTCAACTGACAGCGGTTTCTAAGGCCAACGAGTCTGTGCTCCTCGGAGGTCGCCCGTCTGGCAAGCAGGAGGCCAGGTTCCCAGAAATTTGGGGCGACGGCCACGGTGGAAACGTCCCTTCTGGGAGCCGTGGCATGCCATGACCAGTGCAGTGACTTTGGATCTGCTCGTGCAGGCTCAATGAGGAGCTAAAGGTGACAGACGAGAGCGGCCTGGAGGCCGAAATACTGCTGTGGCTGCGCTTCATGGGTGAAACGTGACCCTCTACTGTGCATGCGTATGTTTAAAACATGGGGCGGTTCCCCATCTGGTTTGGCATGGACACAATGTTTGGCAAAGCCAATAAACTGGATAAGCTGAGCGCATAAACTCGGGCATGCACGCTTGGAAGCAGAGGAACATTTAGGAACAACGTTGCATCGACAACCTTTGGTTGATGAGACGATGATTGCTTCCAGTTGAAACTGAAATGTGGATGTATCGGAATGGCGCCGCATATGAACAGGACAAGTGTATCAACATATTTCCTCATTTGCACCAAGTCAGATGTTGGCATGCTGCTGCCAGGTGCGCTTTGTCGCTTTGCCACACTCGGAAGGATGCGGAGGAAGTGGAGGTGAACAAAGCGAGACGATCTTCCAGAGGGTGGGCCCAGCATCTCATGAGATTGTCCAATGTCATGGTGGGACTATTGTAATCATACCCCGCCCTGGTCGTCGGGCCTCCGCATCTGAAGGGCAGCAAAAAGGCAGAACCAATAGGTCTAGGATCCCATATTTCGGCAAGCCTCAAGGCTAGGTGATGCAGAGAGATCAGCTTGGGGAGCAGTTTCCGAAAGCGTTTTGCTTGGAGGTGATGCTTGGCCACTTATTGCACCCTCAGATCCAGCAGGGCTTCCTGCTAGAGCACGGGTGCCAACCTCAGAGATGATTGAAAGGAGAACTGCCGGTTTGCAGCGGCCGTGTCCTGTCAGGCAGTATGGGTCTAGGTTTGGGGGTGCTCTTTTTTGTCTTCACAACTTCGGGACTTTGGGTCAGAAAAGCAAAGCAACTGGGCAGCCACAACATGCCAAGACAGCAGTTTGTTTAAAAAGGTACGTGCGCGTGTTTCCACTCCATCGCCTGGCTTATTGGATGCCAACGAAGCAACTCTTTGGGAAGGCTGGCCTCAAGTGGCCATGGTTCAAAACCAATGGTACCATTTTGGGATAGGTGCACCACCCATTTTAGTCTATTGGGATTGGGATGTTCACTGGGATTGGCACAATTGATTCAGGGTGGTGCTTCTATGTGCTTCTCTTGGTACCCCCCTTTTGGGGTTGAGGTCCCCGATTTTGCACACTGTATTCTCACCCACATGATATCAAGCTGCTGGCAAACTGTGGGGGCACGGGGATTTTGACCCATGGCCAAGTGGAGACTGGAGTAACTGGACATTCCAAGTTGAAGGTTTCGTGTTTGCCGAGCTAAGATTCCTAAGGTGCGAGAAGACCCACAACGACTGGTTCGCCGCGCGCCTGGAAAGGCGGCAGGGGAAGTCGCTGGACTCCTTTGGCTGGGCCTCAGTGCAGTCGGATGGCGGCATAGAGGCCGGAGGCTTTAGGATGGCAGGGCCTGGCGGATCCTGGCGGTTCTTTGTCCGAGCTATGGATGTGTGTTTTTTTTTTTTTATGGGTCCCGGATGTGGTGGAGGTCAAATTTGTGTCCAACCTTTCTTGAGGGACTTCCCATTAACAGTCCTTGCCATACGAAACCTGGCCCTCAAGGCAACGCAAGCAAAACATCTGGAGGCTTGCATGATTTTGACAGGCACCATGCCAGTTTCACATCGAGATCTTGTGAATGCACGAGCTACACACTTGGTAAGTGGACCTTTGGAACTTGCAGGCCGGAGGGATGGCGGGACCCGATTCCCAGCCGGGGTTTCCAACGATAAGCTCGGGCTCCACCCCAATCATAGAGTCGCGCATTGGTGTCAAGAAGCAACATACTGCAACATACTGTGATATGTTTTAAGTAGCAGAACTGGAAAGGCAATAATGACTTAGAAGGACATTGCAGCAATGCTGAACCTTTCATTGCGGCCCGGTTGCAGGCGGTCTACCAAATCATCGCGGACTTCTTCAAGGAACGGGGTAGGGAATCAGGAACACAGACGTACTGGGACAAATA